CTTGCAACCACAATTGAGCCCAAAATTTCTGTTGCTAAGTGAGACAGTTGATAAATGGATTTTTCCCTATTTTATGAGCTTATTGCCATAGTTGTTCACTGAAGTTGTAAAGCTAGTTGTAAAGTTAGTTGTGAATCTGGCTTCCCCATTGACTTTGCTTGCCAGAAGATCACAAAAGATCACAATGTCCTTGGGACATTGCAACTAGTTCATAAATATGAACTAGTTGCCAAGCATTCAAATTTTGTGCAAATGACCATGGGGATGCAACATCAGAAGTAAGTGTGAAAAAAAAGCCATAAGTCACTTTTTTCAGTGATCTTGTAACTTTGAGCAGTCCCTAAATAAACTGTTGTAAGTCAAGGACTACCTATAGAACAGAACAGAACAAAATAGAACAGAATACTTTATTTGGCCAAATATGATTAAGGTGCATAAGCTCTTAATCAACATACAAAACAACAAACTAATTATAATCATAATAATGATACCAATAAGAGAAGGATATTAGGGTTCACCAAATTGATCAGTATCTGAGCAATCAGCTTAGCTTCATTATTCATTTTGCAGGGTGTCCACTAATTTTTAAATAGAGAGGAAGAAGAAGGGGGGAAAAAATACTGCAAAGTGACGCACCGGTCTTAAACATGATCTTTATTTCCAAGAATGCCTCTGAATCCTACACGACTTCCAAAGACATGAAAATTTAGGAATTTGAATAATCAGTGCTATAATTGGTGCTTTGCTTAGAAAGGGGATTGTAAGCCCCTTAAAAGTCACGGAGAACTATAAGTGCCCCAGTGAGGTCTTGTCAAGAGGAGAAATCGGGACAATCTGACCAATTTTGCTCTTTAGGGAAATAGGTATTTTATGACTGACCTTTACAGTAGCCAATTTGTATGCATTTTAAATTTTAAATGTGTCCACTGAACCGAAAAAGGTGGGAATTCCTGTGTTAAATGGACAAATTGTAAGGCAACTTACATTATTTTTTTTTTTAAAAAAATTGGTCAAGGTTGTATGAAAATAAGGGTAGCTGAACATTCCTTCTCCTTTCTTCTTTGCACTTCATCATTTGAATCCCCCACCCCCATCCCAGCCAGTGAACTGGAGTATGGTCCTACCCCAAGTTTTAGATACAAGGAGTGCATATATACGAGGAACTGGCAAAGGGACTGACTCACCAACCTCGAGCAGCAAACTTTCCCATATGTTGTGCTGAAAAGAGATAATTGTCTGTCTTCTTTTACATTCCTGATGCAAGCAAAGAAAACTTATTCATTAAACAACGCTGAAAATAACCATAAATGAGCTGGTATTAAGTTCATTGGTGGAATTAGAGTTACATACAAATGAAGTTCAACATGCTAGTTTTATCTTCCTTACTCACTCACTCACTCACTCTCTTTCCGATTCTCCCTTCCTTCCTTCCTTCCTTCCATCCTTCCTCTCTCCCTCCCTCACTCACTCTCTTTCCCATTCTCCCTCCCTCCCTCCCTCCCTCCCTTCCTCACTCACTC